CAACCACTTCTAGTTTTTAATGAGCCACATGTTGGGAGACTGTGAAGGAAACAGCAGTAATTCTAACCCATTAGCCAGAATGGACATGTGTTTCTGAATAACATTAGATATTTTAGATTAAATGTGAAGAGCTGATCAAAACTCTAAATAGCTTCAAGCCCCAGTCTGTGTTCAACATTTTTCAGTGAACGGAAGGAAGAGAGAGAATTTTTCATAAATCAGAATCTGGTCACCTGGGGATCAATACACAGGGCTATTGACGTATATGTCGGAATGTTAATTTTCAGACATAGTACATCTCTGGCCATCCTTCTGGTGACGGCTAATGCTATTCACTTAAATCAAGTTTTTTCTCATCTGAACTGCTGGTAATTATCCAATCCATCTAAAAGGCACGCTCCCTTTTAACATTAACCACAGTGTCAGATTGCATCAGCCACATTGTGTTCTGGTGACTGCTTCTGCAGAGTGATGAATGTGCGTGTTTGGAGTTCATAGTCCGACTGTCTGTTTGGGCAGTGGGCAGTTCAGTGAAACAAATGATCAGGAAAGGATCTATTTATTTGGGACGAGCGTTCTCCTTATTGATCCAGTCACTTACATTTCCCGCTTTCTCACCTTGCCACTAACAGTGTTCAGCTTTATCTGAACAATGAACATTTAAAGAATTATCTTAATAGATCATTTTGATGTGATTCTCTGATCATAAGCCGCATTCAGCACAGAGTTCCTCTTTGTGCCTGACTTAAAAAGGAAGGTGTTGTGAGACCTTATTAATAAAAACCAGAGGAGGGAGAAGGTTCTGAGAGTGCTTGGTGAACTGTCCTGAGAAACCAAGAGATAATGATTATTCATTTTCCTGGAATAGTAGTAATACTCTGTTGATTCAGTGCTTTGTTAAAAATGTTAAGTATCTGAATAAGTGCATGCATAAAAGGGCAGGTGACTTGCCTTGAGATATTTTAAGGTAGTAGATTGAGTCCTGAATTTTTCTCATACACCTTTGCAATGTCTGGTCACAATGCCTAGTATACTCGAGAGGCCCCATGGGGGATCCAAGCTATAGATATGCCTGTGGTTATTTTAATTTCTCCTCCATTTCAATATCTCTGGATAGCTTTTGTACACATAAGCTGAAGTGTGAACTGGCCAAGCCATGTGTAATTCTTTGTTCCTTGGACTCTTTGCTCTTTGTTTATATTATCACAGATTAGAATGAAATAAAGAAAATCTTGCTACAAATAGGCACTTAATTTCTGTCCTAGCAGTTGAGACTGAGAATGGGAAATTCCCTATGTTACAATCCACTCTTAGGGTGGCTGTGCACACAGTGGAATCTAATGTCTACTGACAGACTGCCTTTGGAGGTTACAAACATCAGTCTATTGCATTCTCTGTAAACACAGGCTGTGGGCCAGAGCTGGACTCTACTACAAGCTCTGTGAGGCAGATCAATGGTTTAATGAATCCATAAAGATGCTTGAACTCTGCTGCAATTTACTGAGCACTCTAGTTAAATGAAACTCCTGTAGTCTTTAACAAAGATAGCGATAATCGATGGTGGGGGATGGAAGTCCATGTCCAGCAGTCACAACCTCCCAGAATTTGTGTTGTCTCATTGCTAACAGAGGGTTAGTCACATTCAGGCTCTGAGGCTCACTGTGTCTATGTTGATATTTGCTCAATGTTTGAGAGCTGAATTTGGCCCAGAGATGACATAATCTTAGTAATGTTGCTTCTGCGAGGACTATTTTTAAACTATGAAATATTATTTAAAATAAATTTCTTTAAAGTGACAAGATTAAGCTCAAGAATTATATTTGTTCTAACAGGTAGTGTCTTTGTAAGTCATCCCCATGATGAAAAGTAAATAGTGGAATAAAATCCATTCCTGATTAAGTCCTCAAAATGTCAAATTGCATAGTGTTGGAGAGCCCTGATTAATTTTTCCATGGTAAAATATTCCTCATTAGTTTGCTATGGTTGAGGGTTAACCACTCCTATTATAAATTCAGACATTAATGTATTTTCTGCTTAATTCATCTTCGAATAGAGGAAAATATAGTTAGTAGATATGAATTTTTTACTTCCAAATGTGCTTTGGAAACATTATACTGATTTATGAGAGAGCTTTGGAGGCATATATTCTAATTCCTTCATAAATATGTTGAAATGTATTTAAAAGTATTTAACCACCTTTGATTGTAGAAAAACAAGTGCCTTGACTTTGAAATGATTATTTTTCCACAGAAATAGTAGAAGTTATGACATAATTCAAAGATTTTGCATCTGATTTTTGTCACAGAAACTTAAAACTTTCTTAATGTTTAACTTTCTTGATTAGCTAATTAGCATTAATTAATCCCACTCCAATAACTATATTTTGGAGGTTCCATGGGTAATAGGAATTTTGAGATATTATGACTGCTAATTTTCACTGGCCTTTTGCCAAACATTCCATGATAAAGCAGTGATTTTTATATGGATCTCATAAATGATATGTTATCTTGTAATCTGTTTTGATAGAATGATTTCATACTATTTAAAATATGGTGAGCATTTTTATGACTGCACATCTAAATCTTTGATATAAGGAGAATCTTTGAAGGACGTGACACTTTCTGTGATAATCTGTAGGATTGTATGTTTCGTAAGTGGAGCAATATAAATTGATATCAAAGAAAAAGGGGAGTTTGCTCAATAGGAAATAAGTACCTCCCTACAGCTTTTTGTTTGTTTTTAGCCACACTTAAAAGAAATCTTGTTATTTAATCATCCATTCATTCTTTAAAAAATAAAATAAAAAGATATATTGAGCCCGTGTACGACACTAAGCGTGTTTTAGTCTTGGTGGATAGACTTTTGAACAAGAGAAAAAGTCCCTGTCTTAAAGGGACTTACACTCTGGCGGGGGAGATAGATGATATATACAGGCTTAAAAATATCTTTGTAATATAATTTCAGGTAGGAAAAAGTGCTATGAAAAAAAAGCAGACTGAGGGAGAGGCTCGTGAGGGGCTGCTGTTTTATGTCTGAGGACCACAGGAGTTATTTTTGAGGAGGTGACGTGTGCTGGGGACAGAAGGAAGTGACGGAGCTAGCTGTGTGTGAGGAGCTGGCAGCAGAGTGTCCTGTGGAGAAGGGGGAGTAAGTGAGAAACAGAGGTCCTAAGGCAGGAACAGTCTTGGCATTTTTGAATAGCAGCAAGAAGTACAGATGTCTGGAGCGGAATGATCAAGGTGGTGAGAAGCCAAATGACGTAGGCTGGAGAGGCAGTAGTTTGGAGTTCATTCTAAGTGTGATGGCAGCTATTGGAAGCTGTTGAGCAGGTTGGGAGATATGATCTGATTTTTGTTGTTGATTGGGCCTCTGTGAAGGAAGTAACACGTTTAGGATCCCGTATGCAAGGGGGATTTGGAGAGTAAGAAAGGCAACAGCATTCGCATCAAAGTTGGGTGTGTCTGGCAATAGAAAACTAAAAATATCTTGTTCACTGAATTATTCATTAGTAGTTATGAAACATTTCCCAGTAGCAAAAGTGTGTTGAACCAATTTAGTTTTGTGTGTGTGTGTTTTGTTTTTTTGTGTGTTTTGTGTTTTTTTGGGGGGTAAGGTGTGGGAGGAAAGGCATCAGGGAGGGATACTGTTCGGTAAGTGTTCTGACACAGCAATTTTCTTTCTATAGGGCAGGTGGGGCTTGTCCCCAATCTGGTAGAGAGGTTAGGGCCTCAGAAGGCAAACTCCATGCAGAATCTAACTCTTGCTCTGGGAGACCTACAGCATCCACGGGCCTTCTCAAGCCCTAGCCTTAGAGGTAGCATTATGGTAAAGAGATGGTAGTCTTGAAGGGACCATCTTTGGCTAAAGGGATTATTTTGAAGTCTGTTTTATTCTGAGAGTGGGTATAGTTTGGTGATTACTTGTAGGGTGTGTCAGGATTTTTAATACAAGTAACAGAAGACCTCAACAATAAAAGACATCATTTGGAGTTATAAAGTCCTAAGCTAGTATGTACTTTGGGGCAGGTTGATTCAGCAGCACAGTGGTCTTATCACGGTCCCATTTCTTTCCATCTCTGTGTTCTTCCATATAGAGTGTTGGCCACATTCCATGGCAAGCTCCCCAGTGGTTATGGGACAGCTGCTAGCAGCAATCAGGGCTACACACTTTCTTGTTGACATGCTCTGGAATGAGTGTCTCTGTCCTAGCATTCCAAAAAAGAGTCTTGAAATTCATACTCGTTGTCTATGCTTACATTACATGCTCATACCTGAACTGGGGCGCTATGACGAGAGAGAGCAATGGAATGTCTAGCATGAGCCAATCAGGGCTTCCCTCTGAAATTCAGGTTGAGCTCATTTTCCTCTGAAGCCCATGGGCAGCATGGGGAGGGGTAGCTACCAGAATGAAAGTCAGGAAACTGTTAGGGAGGAGACCAGAGTGATGGCTGATGGGAGATGCCAGCAAATGCCCACAAGAGAGAAAGAGAGATGATTTCCTGAGGTTATTTCATGAAGTTGAATTCTTTACACAATGGATGTGTCACACCTGTCTACTCTTGACATGTGGGAGAAATAATCCAAAGTGGATTGAAAGATAAAAATGTGGTTAGCATTCATCGTAGGGTCCTTAGATGAACCACCTCTTCTACCCAGCACCAGCTGTTTTGAGAAACCTGATTATTAGAACACTGGCTCTAGTATCAGGACTGATGTGATCACTGTTTCCACTCTTTTTGGACTTTAGAACATGAGATTGCACAGAACTAAAACAAAGGGATTGTGGCTAGCTGTTATCCCCATTTATGAAGAGGAACAGTGGTGCCATTACAGCAGCAGATAGCCCAGAATATAGTTTCCTCAGTGTAAGTGGCCTAGGAGAGGCTGGCCAAGGGCTGTATTGGATGTGGGGAGCTAGATGCTTTGAAGTAGAAGTCTGATGGGATGAGGCTGCTGTTATCCATCAAGAGTTAGCTGGTCCAGCTCAGAGTCGCTGCCGCCATGGCTAGTCAGTTGCAGGGGATTCAGCAGCCGCTGCTGGCCGAGAAGCGGGCAGCCGAGAAGGTGTCCGAGGCCCGCGAAAGAAAGAACCGGAGGCTGAAGTAGGCCAAAGAAGCAGCTCAGGCTGAAATTGAACAGTACCGCCTGCAGAGTGAGAAAGAATTCAAGGCCAAGGAAGCTGCGGCACTGGGATCCCATGGCAGTTGCCGCACTGAAGTGGAGGAGGAGACCCAGGAGAAGATGACCATCCTCCAGACCTACTTCCAGCAGAACAGGGATGAAGTCTTGGATAACCTCTTGGCTTTTGTCTGTGACATTCGGCCAGAAAGCCATGAAAACTACCGCATAAATGGATAAAAGAAGAGAGAACACCTGTTCTGTGGAGTGGCATTTTAGATGCCCTCATGAATATGAAGCTTTAGCACAGCTCTAGTTATATTCTTATGAAATGGCATTAAATTATTTCCATATATTATATAGTAGGTCCTTCCACTTTTTGGACAGTAGCAAATCTAACTTTTTTGTACAGACTTAGAAATTATCCAAAGATTTCATCTGTTTACCTCATATTTCTTAGGAATTTAATGGGTATATGTTATCTTTTTTTCCTATGCCTTTTGGCTCAAGCAACATGCATATCACTGTTGACTTTTTCTTTCTTAGATATAGTTAAAAAAAAAAAAAAAACCACATAACCATTCTTTTAAGAAAGGAAGGGATTAAATATTTTTTTTCCCCTAACACTTTCTTGAAGGTCAGGGGCTTTATCTATGAAAAAGTAGTAACTAGTTCTTTGTAACCTGTGTGAAGTGGCAGCCAGCCTTAACGTAGTCTGTTCTTGCTAATGGTTAGAACAGTGAATACTAGTGGAATTATTTGGGCTACATTTAGTTTCTCTTAATCAAAATTACTAGATGATAGAATTCAAGAACTTGTTACATGTTATTACTTGGTGTATCAGTAATCATTTAAAAGTAAAGACTCTGTCATGCAAAAAAAAAAAAAAGGAAAAAAAGAGTTAGCTGGTCCACACATTGAAGCTACTTTCTTTGTGGCTGAAAACTGTGTCTGCTAAACAGAAGGAAAAGAGAAATATTCAGAAGAATTGTGATACAGTCTGAGGCTAAATGCTTCAAGTTCAGGTGGCCAAAGGAGTAGAAGTATTGAAGATTGCAGCTTTCACCATTATTAATTATTTATTTATTCATTCAACAAATATTTGTTGAACAGTAACTATGGGAGTTGCAGTGGCCAACAAAACCTGGTCCTTGCCCTCATGAATCTTATAGTCCATTGAGGGACAGAAGTTTATTTAAATAATAACACAAATGTGAAATTGTCACTGTGGCAAGTGCCTTGGTAGTATTGGGCACAGTCTCATGAGAACCTTTTTCAGGGTGAGTTGACTTGTCAGAAGATCTTGAGGCTTCCCTGAGTAAGTGGGACTAGCACTGAAATCTGAAGGATAAAGAGGTGTTAAGTAAGGAAAGAGAGAAGGAAGAGCTTTTTGGGCTAAGGGCATCGCAGTGTGATTTCTAATTTTGGCATTGATTTGCTCTTTCTTTGCTAATTTCATGTTCTTTATGGAGGAATGGGCCTTCACCCACAAACAAGAAAACAAATTGAGCAAACAGATATTCCCTGGAATGATAACCCCATTCATCCATTTGTTTGCAAATTCATTCCTTCCTTCCTTCCTTCCTTCCTTCCTTCCTTCCTTCCTTCCTTCCTTCCTTCCTTCCTTCCTCCCTCCCTCCCTCCCTCCCTCCCTCCCTCCCTCCCTCTTTCTCTCTTTCCCTCTTTCTCTCTTTCTCTCTCTTTCTCTCTTTCTCTCTTTCTCTCTTTCTCTCTTTCTTTCTTTCTTTCTCTTTCTTTTTCTTTCTTTCTTTCTACCAATCCTTGGGGATTCATTGCTTGCCTGCTGGTCTCTGCCTGCTCTGACTTTTTGATCAGCTTCATGGACTATAGAGTTAGCACATTAATACTAAATCACTTCAGAGAGTATACAGCTTGTAACTCTTGAAGATAGAAGCATTTTATAAATACATCATAATACTGTAATAATCACAGTGATAACTATAAGAGCTTAAGTGTTTTTAACTATCAAATGTACTAGAAAAGCAACAATGACAACAGAGAAAAGATTGTGCAAAAATGCACTGATTTGAGAGAGGAGAATAGTGTAATTACTGTCTGATGAATGTGGTTGAAAGATAAATGAGATAACTCACTTTTTGCTGGAAAGAGCCACAGAAAGGGCAGATACCCTCATCCCCACTAGGTGAAGAGATGTAGTTTTGTTATATATAGAGAACTACATAATTACGTTAACATTAATGCAAGGGCAGACAGAAAGTTTGGGTAATGATGAATTCCAGGACAGAGAACTGCTGATTGACACTCAGGTCCCTACGCAAGACAATTGTGATAAAATGGAAACAGAACACCATGTTTGCTGGCATAGCAACAGAGGGTGATTTTTGTGGTGCAGTGGTGTGGCGGGAAGGAAGGGATTCTCCTCCCTTTCTTTGTATTCTTTGTTTCAGCCTCGCGTCTAATTTTAGTACCTAAAATCATGATGACAACTCTATAGAAATGTAGTGACAAATAAATAGGCAGGTGAGTAATTCAGATTTTATCTTCCTGGGTCTTACCTGGGTGATGTGGACATGGATATTCCTAATGAGAGGAATCTGAATCTCTCTTCAGGATGCCAAATGGGAGAGATGACCCTTTTAAGGCTACCCACACTTTTTCCTGCCTCAGGTGACTGTGAACCCGGGACTTCGAGTTCAGCTGGAGTCAGCAGCCCCTCTCCAGTTCTAGTAGCTCCTGAAAGCCACACATAATGACAGTCATTTCCAAAAGAGGCTGATTTTAAAACTGTGCTGAAAATGGCTAACAGCAGGCTGAAGGTTAAAGTAAAAAACTTAAAAACCATAAAATCTGCCTGGAGGCTATTTAAGCAAACTGTTTTAGAGGCACAGATGGTTCATATACCTCTGAGCCAAAAACAAAAAGGAAAAAGGGGACAGTAAAGCTGGCGTGATTAAGCAGACAAGTATGAAAGTTTTATTAGTACTAAAAAGGCATCCTTTAGAAAGTAAAAGAATCTGTCTCAGGAAATTCGGAAGATATATTAAAGACCAATGGGAAATGGAGAGGGCACACAGATGACATTTCGGAAAGCAACCAAAGATAGTGAAGACACACAATGTACGCATGGACACTGGATATCAGAAGCTGTGCTCTGAGGACCTTAGGAAGCAGTGTAAGAGAAAGATACCGTATATGGACAGTTGGGAGTAGCTTCCCTGTCCTGTATCTGTGATGTAGAGCAGGTTTTATAAGGATTTTGTGCAACTTAAAGAGTGGTTTGAATCTCCAAGGAAAATCAGTTGAAGCAAATTTGAGAAGCTTAAGTGCCATAAATCAGAGGGTCCAAAACATATGAAGGAAATAAAGTACGATGTTGCTGATAGCATTAAAAATAGCACTTATACTTGAGAGTGGAGAAGTCACTGGGGTGCAAGGGCATCCAGCCTCTCGAGGGTCTGCTTTGTTGCATCCTGGATGCAGTCCTCCAAGTATCTTCCCATGAGTGTGCAGGTACCTGCACTCATGTGCACACAGAAAGCCTCTGGATTTGAGATGGGTGAGTATCCATTATCATAATTTTGAGAAAAGCCAGACTCTAAGGAATGACAGAATAGTACAAAGTTTGCAGGGTCACTATATGAGGAGCCTCCTTTGAAGGAAAAAAAACAAAAAACAAAAAACAGTATTTATGTCTTGAGTTAGCATTTGATACAAACCTAAATAAAAATGACCAAATATAGCCTTGCAAAAAAGTAAGGTAAGTTGTTTGGATTTTCAAAAATCCAAGTAATTCATTTAGAGTTTGGCTGACTCCCCCTGAAGAGACCCTTGAGGAACATAAACAACTGAAGACAAGAAATAAGGCCCTGCCTTGGATTAAGAACCTGGGGAAGGAGTGGATGATATTCCTCAGAGTAGAGAAATTAATAGTGTACCATCCCAGGGGTTTATATTAGGAGTAGTGTCCCTTGGTAATACTGATGGCTTATTTGGCAGTAGATGACAGGAAGAAGGGAGCATTCCCTACTTTCTCTTAGTTGCTTTCATTTGAAAAACCACAGAGAATTACCCTCTCCCCAAAAAGAAACCCTTACAAATATATACATATAATGAGGTAACCTGACATCAGATGCAATTCCATTCACTCAGCCATCGGCGAGCACAAGGGAACAAAACGTTTTAATCCTCACGTCCCTGATATGAGCTGACTCTCAGCATCCCCGGAGAGGAGAACTTGGTCCCATCTGTAGGGGGCTCATTGTGTTGCCTGCCTAGAGTAAAAAAATTAACGTTTAAATGTTTGACTGCATTAAAGACAATTTTTAAAAGCAGACAAAAGTATGTCAAACAATATGCTGATAATCAAGCTATGTCCCTTCTCACAGGAAACGTGTAGTTCATTCTTCTTGAACCTGATTTTTATAAAAGGCTAATGCTGAACTTTAAAAGAGTTGACACAGAGGATTAAATGTATTTTTATTGTACTGCAGGCTATACAAATATAGGATACAAAAGCCTGAAAAGGTATATTGTTGAGGACAAAAGAACTAATAATAAAACTAAAGAATTGATAAATGTAAATGTAATCAAAGTGTATTCAGTCTCAACACTCAGGGGTAACCTTTGCAGTTGGCCACAATGGGGAAAGACTGGATCAGACTCCGTGGCAGATGGTTTAATACATAGTGCATATATTAATCCATGGAGACAGCCCTGGAAATGCAAGCAGGTTGTTAATGATCACAGATAGCAGTTGTGAGCTGCTCCTGGTCTTGCAGTTAGGTGTTCAGATGTCATGCTTCGGGGTCCAAGTTGATGGGTTTCTAGGTTGGGAAAACATTTTCCCCCTTCTATTGCACTGCACAGCTGATAAGGCATGCTTCAGGGAAGGAGTGATTTAGACTATTGCAGGTGAAGGGAAGGGAGAGAAGGTAGACTTACAACCCAGTCCCATGATTTAGTTTGATGACTTCTTACTTCTAGTTAAAGTGGTACCATTGAGAGCTCATTGAGTGTGAGGGATTTGTAAATCAAATGTAAAGGGAGCAGACACCACTGCTGTAAATCCAATAGAACTTCAAATCTGACATCAAGTCAATACTGCTTACCAACAACAACAAAAGGAATCCCCAATCTCATGGCCTACTGGCATCAGAGAAAACCATGTACAAATAATATAATTTTCTTTTTCTGTGTGTGTGTGTGTGTGTTTGCGAGAGAGTCTTGCTCTGTTGCTCAGGCTGGAGTGCAGTGGCACGATCTCGGCAAGCTCCGCCTCCTGGCTTCATGCCATTCTCCTGCCTCAGCCTCCCGAGTAGCTGGGACTATGGGCGCCCGCCACCATACTCAGCTAATTTTTTGTATTTTTAGTAGAGCCAGGGTTTCACCATGTTAGCCAGGATGGTCTTGATCTCCTGACCTCGTGATCTGCCCGCTTCGGCCTTCCAAAGTGCTGGGATTACAGGCGTGAACCACCGCGCCCGGCCAACCAATAATATACTTTTCAACTTTCTTTATCATGAATTATTTAATAAGTAGAAAAGAATATTGACCTCTAAATTTCAGCACATTC